GTCTGTATTTCTCACCGCACTGTGGCTCAATGTGATGCATGCAGCACCTCTATTGTCAGAAGTGACACCTGCATAAATCATGCCCGTGTTGCATGTATGTACTTTCAACCGAGCCTGCATGCAGAATACAGAAAAATGCATTGAATTCCCTGACCTGACGAAGCAGACCGGATGTTGGGCGAAGGCTTTGAAGTCCAGGCGCTTTTTCGGGCCTTGACCCGAAAGACTTCGAAGTCTTCACCACAAGCACCAAAACCAGAAAGCCAGAAATGCCACCACGAAGAGTTCGCTCTGCCAGTGATGTTCTTTAAAAGTGGGCGAGAGTTCATGGTGTTGCACCCAAGGCTCGAAACCACAGACCCTGACCATTTCAGCTTCAGACTTCGGGTTGTCTCGGCCTGCCTGGGTGTAGAGAGTTGAATAACGCAAAGCCTGAAGCAAGAATGCAGGGGTTTAGGGTTTAGGAGGCTTGACTGGCTGAGCTCCGATAGCCGACCCGAAGCCCTCTTGACACTTAATTCGAAGCCGCCGAAATGCCCCAATGATGGACCGCTGGTCTGTGCTTCTATCTTGCAATTGCTGTAAGCCGTTTTTATTTGCCGGGGGCAGGTGCGACAGATTCTGGCAGAGGCGACCATGGCAAACCGCCAGAAGCTTCACTGTTTTGGACTTTGGAGCTTTTTGTTTCGACTTGAGCTTGGGGTTTAGTGTAGTCTGAGGGGATGTCATGTCAAAACCAAGTAGCAACCAGCAACAGTAGAGAGTGCGATAACTGCCCCTCATGTGGGTCATTCGTGACTTTCAAGAGCTGAGGCTTGATGCCTCCCTGGAGTGTAAAGTAACTGCACCTGTGCACCCGAACCCCAGACTCTCGACCCGAAAACTCCCTACATCCTCAACCCTTTAACCCCATGATATATTGTGTATTGTATTACTATAATTTGAAACCGGTCTTCAAGACCGGCCTCTCAAGGACTCTACTTTTCTCGGCCACCTGGCCACAAGCGGTCAAGGCTCCGTGGATTGAATTTGGTGCTAGGATTTTTTTGGGGGTTTAGGGTTNNGGGGGGGGGGGGGGGCTGAGGGGGCGCGTTTAGTCTTGACTTGAGGGGTTTGAAGGTCAAGGGTCTGTTAAGGCTCCCTAAACCCTTTAACGACTCAAACCACTGAACTCCGAAGCCCCAATAGCTGCCCTAACTTTCGAGGTCAAGGAGGTATAGGGTTGTTGGAGGTCAAGCTCATGCCTTGGTTTCAGTGCGGCAGGCTTGTACCCGGAATGCAGGTGCCTTTTCAGTCTGGGGCTCTTGGCTTTCTCCGACTTGGCTTTGCACTTGGTGATGGCGTGTTAGGGAGAATACTTAAGAGGACAGTCCTTCCAAAGAGGGCTTTGGTCCTCACACTTCAGCGCTTCAACGCCAGCTCAATGTCGTTGGATTCTTGCTACCTGCTAGCACCGATTTCCCAAAGCTCTACGTCCTATAAGCCTTGCCTAGTTACAGGGCTGAGGCACAGAAGCGCGAACGCCCTACCACACCAGACCCACCAAGGAGGCAAACCCCGAAGCCCCGCCAGCGCTCTAAATGCGAAGCCCTAGTATAGGCATAGCCCTTCTGTAGCCAGGCATTCGCGTTTTCGGTCTTGCGACAGCCCGTCGAGGTTCGCGTGGGTGTCGCTCTGCAGCACTGCGCTGCAGAACTGGGTTCTGACTGCATGGGTTCAGCCAGCGTAGTGACATTCCTCCTGGTCTTACCAAGAATAAAGTTAGTACAGTAGTCGTCGTGGAAGTAGGAGGAGCAGCTGCAGCTATTGCAACAGTTGCAGTTATTTATATATATATATAT